ATTAATGGACTGGAACCACTGGACTGACTGTTTAATGGACTGGAACCACTGGACTGACTGTTTAATGGACTGGAACCACTGGACTGACTGGAACCACTGGACTGACTGTTTAATGGACTGGAACCACTGGACTGACTGTTTAATGGACTGGAACCACTGGACTGACTGTTTAATGGACTGGAACCACTGGACTGACTGTTTATTGGACTGGAACCACTGGACTGACTGGAACCACTGGACTGACTGGAACCACTGGACTGACTGTTTAATGGACTGGAACCACTGGACTGACTGTTTAATGGACTGGAACCACTGGACTGACTGTTTAATGGCGTTCTGGACAAACCAAAGAACTTCGTCACAAAGTTAAAACATAATCAAAATAACACAGATGAGAACCTTTGTAATAAATAAGCTAAATAATAATTGTTGACATCATAATTAAGCCCCGCCCCCCACCTGACTGAGCGAGGTCTCCTTTTTGCCCACTGCTGTCTGGCTTGGAGAGGATCCCAGGGTAACAGGAGCTGCTTTCCCTGGAGTGCGTTTTCCTTGAGGCAGGAATGTGGAGAAGAAGTTCCTGGACGGGGTGGTGGAGGCGCTGGAGGATCTCTGACTCGACACCAAGTCCCTGAAACCCAGACAGAAACAGGTTCACTCACAAGTTAAACAGGTTATAATGGAGAACTGGAACCTGTTGGACCAGTTCTTGGTTTGGACGTTAATAACTCCAGATCTTTTTAATTCTCAGTTTTTATACTTTCATCTTGATATTCTTGTTATTTATTGATTATACTCTAATTGTGGAACCGTGACGGTTCCTGAAGGTCACTGAAGGTGATCAGATCCAAATGAGTTTCCTCATTAGACTGGAGGACGGTCAGACTGGGAACCAGTTGGTTCTTCACTGGTCTGGATCAGTTCTGTGGTTCTTCTGACCCACCTTCTACTTCACAAAGAACCAGCCCCAGTGATTAACGCTTGGCGTAGATGTTTGCTGGTCCGATTCAGGAAGGTTCTGGATGAACCATCCCATCCTGAGCTGGACTCTGCAGGGCGCTCACTGACCGACCAGGATTACAGTTCATCAGCTGAATGCTTTATTTGGCAGAATCATCACAGTTTAAACAGCAGCAATAAATTAGCAGCAACAGTTAATTATTCATAAACTAACAAGTCACTATTATATCATGACATGAAGCCAGAATTCAAATCTTCTGAAAAGGCGACTCTGTGGGAATTTTATTCTCCTTCAAAGAACAGATAAATAAACCGGATCTGATGATGAGAGTCTGGCTCTGAATCACTAACATCCAGGAAATCACTTTCCTTCCCAAACTAAGAGTAAAAAGCTGAATAAATTCTCTATTTTTATCGCCGTAAGAAACGGTTCAGGGAAATGTCTTGGCCGACATGTCAACGCTAAACGTAAAATAATACAACAGCTGCTGTAAGTTTAATTTAAAGCCACTTCAGGTAAAATGGAGCAAAGGTTAATAAACAAATAAAAAATTATTAATTTTAAATAAACATTCCATTCCAGAGGATAAAAGCATTCACCGTAACGTTTAAAGCTAAGAAAATTTGGAAACACTTCCTGGTTTTTTAAGTGACTCTAAAAGATGCTGGTTGCTAAGCAACAATCAGATTAGCTTAAAGGCTTGATTGTGATGGCTGCGGGTCAGACGGCTCATCACTTCGCCCAAAACATTTAGTTATTGATGAAAAGAAGACTTTTTTTAAAAGCAATTTTTATTTCTAAACATATTTTAGTCTCCTTGATTAGACTTGGAAACAAAGTTTAATCAATTAGAGTCAGAATTAGCACAAAAGCATCATGCTAACTGAAGTCAATTAACAGAAATGCTAAAGCAGCAGCATTGAAGGTCAGTTCTAACAACATTAAAACAGAAATTTAATACTTAAAATCTCAAAGTAAAGCTTTAGCACTAAAGCTGAACGTAAACAAAGAGAAGGATTACTAAACGTTTCCACAGAAGCTACTAAAAAATATGAACGCTTAAAATAGAGAAGAAAAAGAAACGCTATGAAGATTGGAACTAAATATAACAGCAAAAACTTTAGCATTTAATGTTGATAATATCAGCACTAGCATAAAAGATAAATGCTAAGGTTAAGCTAACTGAAGCATAAAAGGTGAATCATTTAAACAGTGAAAACTGTTGAAAACAACATTAAAGAGTAATTAATTTAGAGGTGAAGCTTATTCCTGCAGCTAACAACCTTAGCATCAAAGTAAAATGCCAGGATTAGCCCATTAATGAGAAGAAAATTAGCCTTTCAGCTAAAACTCATTAGCACTGATGCCAATGGTAGGCTTCTTTGGAACCTTTTCAGCTCTTTAACCAAAGATGGCTGCCGACTCAGAGACAGGAAGTGAGATGTGCTGCAGTCAGAGAGAGATCTTAGAGGCTCACAACTCAGTGTCTCCCAGGCGGTCCATGTTCTGGACATACAGCGGCAGCTTATGCTGGACCATCTGGTCTCCATCCTTCTGCTCCCTGCTCTCCGTCTGCAGGGCAAAAATCTGCAAAAAGGAAAGAGCATTCATTAACCCGACGCCAGCCTGAGAGAGCATTCATTAACCCAACGCCAGCCTGAGAGAGCATTCATTAACCCAACGCCAGCCTGAGAGAGCATTCATTAACCCAACGCCAGGCTGAGAGAGCATTCATTAACCCGACACCAGCCTGAGAGAGCATTCATTAACCAAACGCCAGGCTGAGAGAGCATTCATTAACCCGACGCCAGCCTGAGAGAGCATTCATTAACCCAACGCCAGGCTGAGAGAGCATTCATTAACCCGACGCCAGCCTGAGAGAGCATTCATTAACCCGACGCCAGCCTGAGAGAGCATTCATTAACCAAACGCCAGGCTGAGAGGGCATTCATTAACCCGACGCCAGCCTGAGAGAGCATTCATTAACCCAACGCCATTAACCCGACGCCAGCCTGAGAGAGCATTCATTAACCCGACGCCAGCCTAAGAGAGCATTCATTAACCCGACGCCAGGCTGAGAAAGCATTCATAAACCTGACGCCAGGCTGAGAGAGCATTCATTAACCCATCGCCAGCCGGAGAGAGCATTCATTAACCCGACGCCAGCCTGAGAGAGCATTCATTAACCCGACGCCAGCCTAAGAGAGCATTCATTGACCCAACGCCAGCCTGAGAGAGCATTCATTAACCCGACGCCAGCCTAAGAGAGCATTCATTAACCCGACGCCAGGCTGAGAGAGCATTCATTAACCCATCGCCAGCTGGAGAGAGCATTCATTAACCCGACGCCAGCCTGAGAGAGCATTCATTAACCCGACGCCAGCCTAAGAGAGCATTCATTAACCCGACACCAGGCTGAGAAAGCATTCATAAACCCGACGCCAGGCTGAGAAAGCATTCATTAACCTGACGCCAGCCTAAGAGAGCATTCATTAACCCGACGCCAGGCTGAGAGAGCATTCATTAACCAAACGCCAGGCTGAGAGGGCATTCATTAACCCGACGCCAGCCTGAGAGAGCATTCATTAACCCAACGCCATTAACCCGACGCCAGCCTGAGAGAGCATTCATTAACCCGACGCCAGCCTAAGAGAGCATTCATTAACCCGACGCCAGGCTGAGAAAGCATTCATAAACCCGACGCCAGGCTGAGAGAGCATTCATTAACCCATCGCCAGCCGGAGAGAGCATTCATTAACCCGACGCCAGCCTGAGAGAGCATTCATTAACCCGACGCCAGCCTAAGAGAGCATTCATTAACCCGACGCCAGGCTGAGAAAGCATTCATAAACCCGACGCCAGGCTGAGAAAGTATTCATTAACCTGACGCCAGCCTAAGAGAGCATTCATTAACCCGACGCCAGGCTGAGAGAGCATTCATTAACCCGACCCCAGGCTGAGAGAGCATTCATTAACCCGACCCCAGGCTGAGAGAGCATTCATTAACCAGACGCCAGCCTGAGAGAGCATTTATGAACCCGACCCCAGGCTGAGAGAGCATTCATTAACCCGACGCCAGGCTGAGAAAGCATTCATTAACCCGACGCCAGGCTGAGAGAGCATTCATTAACCCGACGCCAGCCTGAGAGAGCATTCATTAACCCATCGCCAGCCTGAGAGAGCATTCATTAACCCATCGCCAGCCTGAGAGAGCATTCATTAACCCGACACCAGCCTGAGAGAGCATTCATTAACCCGACCCCAGGCTGAGGGTGCATTCATTAACCCGACGCCAGCCTGAGAGAGCATTCATTAACCCGACGCCAGCCTGAGAGAGCATTCATTAACCCGACGCCAGCCTGAGAGCATTCATTAACCCAACGCCAGGCTGAGAGAGCATTCATTAACCCATCGCCAGCCTGAGAGAGCATTCATTAACCCATCGCCAGCCTGAGAGAGCATTCATTAACCCATCGCCAGCCTGAGAGAGCATTCATTAACCCATCGCCAGCCTGAGAGAGCATTCATTAACCCGACACCAGCCTGAGAGAGCATTCATTAACCCGACCCCAGGCTGAGAGTGCATTCATTAACCCGACACCAGCCTGAGAGAGCATTCATTAACCCGACCTCAGGCTGAGAGTGCATTCATTAACCCGACACCAGCCTGAGAGAGCATTCATTAACCCGACGCCAGCCTGAGAGAGCATTCATTAACCCATCGCCAGCCTGAGAGAGCATTCATTAACCCATCGCCAGCCTGAGAGAGCATTCATTAACCCATCGCCAGCCTGAGAGAGCATTCATTAACCCATCGCCAGCCTGAGAGAGCATTCATTAACCCATCGCCAGCCCATTTCCATCCTCCACAGCTGAGGGTCAGACATGGGATGGTGAGGAAGTGTGTGGCTCAGCCCTCAGAGTCTGCAGGCCCCAGTTACCAGGTCAAAGGTCATGACCTTGAACCAGCCTGGCCTCCTGGGAGTTTGAAGGAGCAGAAACCAGACGACCCAAAACCCAGAGGGACCGAAAGGATCCGAACCCAGCAGAACTCCTGTAGAGTGAAGGCCTAGTCAAAGCCCAGAGAACCCTGCTTCATGCTCACCGTCTGGCGCTGCTGTTCATTCTCCTCCATCAGGCTGGTCATCTTCTGGACTTCAGCATCAAAGCTCAGCAGGACGGGCTGAGGTGGAACCAAGTTAAGAACCAGAAACCAGCAGAACTTTGATCCTGCTGAGGAGAACCTATCCACATAAACAGACCTGATCTAGGATAAAAGCTCTAAGTGTGCAGCTGAAGGATATGGACACACTGGAAGAGGACGGACAGGAAGTTGTGCAGGGAGACCAGGAAGGTGTCGGCCCACTGCCGGGAGAAGTACGGGGCGAAGGCCGGGTTCTGCTCAGGAGCCGGGATGAAAGGCAGGACGAACCAGTCGCGCCACTCGGCCTGAGCCTGCAGCTCCAGCGCCTGTTTCTGGAAGAACTCCTGGGTCTTCTCCACGTTCCCTTTCTGCAGGATGAGAGACGGAGCAGAGCTCAGGTGGGAGCAGCGATCCGGCAGCTGCTACTGCAGCGCTCAGCTGGTACCTGGATGGTGTTGATGACATAGTAGCGGTACAGGCTGGTCCTCAGCTTGTTCACAGTGGGCCGGTAGACATCCTCCAGTCTGCAGAACAGGCGGCGGTCCAGATAGAGCCAGTACTCCTTCAGACCCGGCAGGTCGCAGCTCTGCACCAGCTGCTGCAGCTGATCGATGATTTTATCCACCTGGAGGAGCACAGACACCCCGTCAGCCTCCAACCGCTCACAGCAAACCGGTTCTGCTCAGGTTCTGCTTCCAGACGTTCCCGCTCACCCGGAAACCTTTCTCCTTGTCAGCTTTGATGTCGCTGTCCAGCTGTTTGAGCGTCCCGGTGAAGCCTCTGTAGATCAGGTACTCTCTGACGTGTTTGTCCGTCCGTTCCACCGCCGAGCCCATCCTGGCGCTGCCAAGGCAACGAGCACAAGTCAGTGGGGCATTTCCGTTTGGAACCAACAGATACGACTAATCGGCGGAGAAAACATTCCGTTTGGAACCGACAGATACGACTAATCGGCGGAGAAAACGTTCCGTTTGGAACCAACAGATACGACTAATAAGCAGAGAAAACGTTCCGTTTGGAACCAACAGATACGACTAATCGGCGGAGAAAACACTCCGTTTGGAACCGACAGATACGACTAATCGGCGGAGAAAACATCCCGTTTGGAACCAACAGATACGACTAATCGGCGGAGAAAACACTCCGTTTGGAACCAACAGATACGACTAATCGGCGGAGAAAACATTCCGTTTGGAACCGACAGATACGACTAATCGGCGGAGAAAACATTCCGTTTGGAACCGACAGATACGACTAATCGGCGGAGAAAACGTTCCGTTTGGAACCAACAGATACGACTAATAAGCAGAGAAAACGTTCCGTTTGGAACCAACAGATACGACTAATCGGCGGAGAAAACATTCCGTTTGGAACCGACAGATACGACTAATCGGCGGAGAAAACATTCCGTTTGGAACCAACAGATACGACTAATCGGCGGAGAAAACATTCCGTTTGGAACCAACAGATACGACTAATCGGCGGAGAAAACGTTCCGTTTGGAACCAACAGATACGACTAATAAGCAGAGAAAACGTTCCGTTTGGAACCGACAGATACGACTAATCGGCGGAGAAAACATTCCGTTTGGAACCGACAGATACGACTAATCGGCGGAGAAAACGTTCCATTTGGAACCGACAGATACGACTAATAAGCAGAGAAAACGTTCCGTTTGGAACCGACAGATACGACTAATCGGCGGAGAAAACGTTCCGTTTGGAACCGACAGATACGACTAATCGGCAAAAAAGGAAAAAAAAAAACCCCAACCCCCATCCAAATACAAAAACATTCCCTTTAACCCCCTAACCTAATTCCGGAGAAACCTTCCGTTTAAACCCAAAACCCCCCCCCTAATAAAGAAAACTCCTGGAAACCGCGTCCTAACGCAGAAAATTTTCCGGGGAACCCCCCTACACAATGCGGAAAAACGTTCCTTTAAACCCCGCAATCGACTTTTTCCCAAAAAACGTTCCATTTGGCCCCCAGTATTAATTAGCAGAGAAATTTGTTGGAAACCGACGAATACTTTTACGAGAAAACTTTCCCTTTTGGGAAAAACCCCGACAGATACGCCCTAATGGAAAAAAATTCCCTTTTAAAGACAGAAAACTTCCAAAAACGTCCAAAATTTGGAACCGACAGATACGACAAAAAAAAAGAAAACTTTCCTTTTTGGAAAAAAGGATAGACAATTTGGGAGAAAAAACTTCCTTTTGGGAAAACCCCGAAGTTTTTAAAATTTAAAAAAAGGGCAGGAAAGTTCCGTTTGGAACCAACAAAATAAAAATCGCGGAGAAAAGGGTTTCCTTTTTGGAACCGCAGATACGACTAATAAGAGGAAACGTTCCTTTTGGGAACCAAACAATATGACTAATGGGCGGAGGAAACTTTCCCCTTTTTTTGGAACCAACGAAGAAAAATGGGGAAAAAAGGAAAAAACATTTCCTTTTTGGAAACCCGAAGATAGGGGAAAATTTTCGGCGGGAAAACATTCCGTTTGGAACCCGCAGATTAAAATCGGGAGAAAAGTTTTTTTGGAACCCGACAAAAACGACTAAAAGCAGAGAAAACATTCCTTTGGAACCAAAACAGATACACAAATTTGGGGGAGAAAACGTTCCTTTTGGAACCCCCGATACACTAATCGGGAAGAAAACATTCCTTTTTTGGAAAACCCGACAGATACACAACCCCGGAGAAAAAGTTCCGTTTGGAACCAACAGATACGACAAAAGCGAGAAAACTTTCCCCTTTGGGGGAACCCGACAGTACACAATGGGGAAGGGAAAACTTTTCCTTTGGAACCGACAGATACACAAATCGGGGGGGAAAAAAAATTTTTCCCGTTTGGAACCACGAACAAACCAAATAAGCAGAAAAACTTTCCGGGAACCGAAAAAAGAAAAACGACTAATCGGCCGGGGAAGAAAACGTTCCTTTTGGGAAACCGACAGAAACGACTAAAAGCAAAAGAAAACGTTCCGTTTGGAAACCACAGAAAAGACTAATCGCAGAGAAAACTTCCGTTTGGAACGACAGATACCTAATCGGAGAGAAAACGTTGTTTGGAACCGAAATCACTTCACAAGAAAACTTTTTCCTTTTTTTTTGAACCGGCCGATACGACTAATAACAAGAAAAAAGTTCCTTTTGGAACCGACAGATCGCTAATAACCAGAGAAAACGTTCCTTTTTGGAACCACGAAACGACTAATAAGCGGGGAAAAAACGTTCCTTTTGGGAAACCGCAGATACGACTAATAAGCGAGAAAACTTTTCCGTTTGGAACCGACAAATGACAATGGGCGGGGGAAACGTTCCGTTTGGAACCAACAATCACAAACGGGGGGAAAAAAAGTTCCGTTTGGAACCCCGACAGATACGACTAATAAGCAGAGAAAAAACGTTCCTTTTTGGAACCAACAGAAAAACGACAATCGGGGGAGGAAATTTCCGTTTGGAACCAAAAACGATACGACAATCGGCGGAAAAAAACGTTCCATTTGGAAACCGAAGATAAACAATAAGCAGAGAAAACTTTCCGTTTGGAACCAACAGATAACAATAAGCGGAGAAAACGTTCCGTTTGGAACCACAGAAACGACTAATCGGCGAAAAAACATTCCTTTTTCCCAGTTTAACAATAATTTTCCCCCGGGGGGAAAAAATTTTCCTTTGGAACCCGTAAGACTAAATCCCGGGGGAAAAACTTTTTTCCATTTGGAACCGCGATATCGCTAATAAAGCAGAGAAAACTTTTCCGTTTGGAACCAACAGATACGCTAACGGCGGAGAAAACGTTTCCTTTTGGAACCGCAGATAGCTAATCGGCTAGAAAACATTACTTTTTTGGAACGAAAATACATAACAGCGGGAAAACTTTCCCGTTTGGAAAAAAACAATACACAAATAAGCAGAGAAAAACGTTCCTTTTGGGAAAACCGACAGATAACAAAATCAGGGGGAAAAAAACATTCCGTTTGGAACCGACAGAATCCATTTTCCCCTTCCCGCGAGGGGGCCCCCCCCCCGAAAAAGGCCTTTTAAAAAAAACACTTTGGCCCCTTTTAACCCAAAAAAACTTTGGTTTGGAACCCCCTACGACTAACGGCGGAGAAAACGTTCCTTTTTGGAACCCAAAAGTACGACTAAAAAGCAAAAAAGTTCCGTTTGGAACCGACAGATACGACTAAATCGGCGAAAAAAACGTTCCATTTGGAACCGACGATATGACAATTTTAGCAGAGAAAACTTTCCGTTTGGAACCGACAGATATGACTAATTAGCAGAAAAAAACCGTTCCTTTTGGGAACCACAAAAAACAACTAATCGGCCAAAAAAAACTTTCCTTTTGGAACCGACGATACGACTAATGGGCAGAAAAAACGTCCGTTTGGAACCCGCGTTACGAAATAAGCGAGAAAACTTCCGTTTGGAAAACCGACAATCGAAAATAAGCAAAAAAAACCGTTTTTTGGGAAACCGACAAATACAATGGGGGAGGAAACCCTTTGGAACCAAACAGATACCCAAAAAAATGGGCGGAAAAACGTTCCTTTTGGAACCGACAGATACGCTAATAACAAGAAAACGTTCCGTTTGGAACCAACAGATATGACTAATCGGCGGAGGAAAAGTTCCGTTTGGAACCGACGATACGACTAATCGGCAAAGAAAACTTTCCGTTTGGAAGAAAAAATTTACACAAATGGGCGGAGAAAAACATTCCGTTTGGAACCGACAATACGACTAAGGGCGGGGAAAACTTTCCCATTTGGAACCGACAGATACACTAAAAAGGAGAAAACATTCCGTTGGAACCAACGATACGACTAATCGGGGGAAAAACTTTCCTTTTGGGACCGCAGAAAAAACTAAATTTGGCAAAAAAACTTTTCCGTTTGGAACCGCAGATACGAAATCAGGGGAGAAAAAAAACTTCCTTTTGGAACCAACAGATACGACTATAAAAAAACAATTTTTTTCCGTTTAACCCGACTTACGGAAAAAACAAATCGGGAAGAAAACACCCCGTTTGAACCGACAAATACACTAATCAGCAGAAGGGAAAACTTTCCCTTTTTGGAACCGCAGTACGACTAAAAAGCGGGGGAAAAAAATTTTTTTCCCGTTTGGAACCGAAAATACGACAAAAAGGGGGGCGGGAGAAAACGTTTTTGGGGGAACCGCGATCGACTAATAAGCAAGAAAAACGCCCGTTTGGAACCCGCAATTTACGACAAATTTTGGCAGAGAAAATTCCGTTTGGAACGACAGATACAAACTATCGGCAAGAAAACTTTCCCTTTTGGAACCGACAGAACGACAAATTTTCAGAGAGAAAACATTCCCCGTTTGGAACCGACAGATACGACTAATAAGCAGGAAAAGTTCCTTTTAAAAACCAACAGATTACGGAATAATAACCGGGAAAAAAAACGTTCCTTTGGAACGACAGATACGACTAAAAAGCAGAGAAAACTTCCTTTGGAACCGACAGATAACTAAAATAAAAAAAGAGAAAATTTCCCGTTTGGAACCGACAATAAAAACTTTAATCGGCGGAAACGTTCCTTTGGGAAACCCAAACAATACGACTAATCGGGGGGAGAAAAATTCCCGTTTGGAACCAAAGATAGACTAATAAGCGGGAAAAACGTTCCGTTTGGCCCAAACAGATACGATAATCGGCGGAGGAAACTTCCCTTTTGGAACCAACAGATCGACTAATGGGCGGAAAAAACTTCCATTTGGAACCGACAGATAAAAAAAAAAGCAGAGAAAACTTTCCTTTTTGGACCAAACAATACGACTAAAAAGAAGAAAACGCCCTTTTGGAAACCCACAGATCGACTAAAAAGCAGAAAAACTTTCCGTTTGGAACCAACAGATAGACTAAAACAGAGGGAAAAAACTTTCCTTTGAAACCCGACGATTCGACAAATAAGCAAAGAAAAAACTTTCCCGTTTGGAACCCAGATAGACTAATGGGCGGAGGAAACGTTCCGTTTGGAACCAACAGATAGACTAATGGGCGGAGAAAAACGTTCCGTTTGGAAACCGACAGATAGACAAATAACAGAAAAACTTTCCGTTTGGAACCAACAGTTACGACAAGGGGCGGAGGAAACGTTCCGTTTGGGAACCAACAGAACGACAATCGGGGGGAAAAAACTTTCCCTTTTGGAACCCGACAGATACGACTAAAAACAGAAAAAAAATTTCCCCTTTGGAACCAGAAAACGCAATACAGGGGAAAAAGCCTTTTGGGGAACCGACAGATACGCTAAAAAACAAGAAAACTTTCCATTTGGAACCGAAGATACACAAAATAAGCAGAGAAAACTTTTCCATTTGGAACCGCAGATACCTAATAAGCAAGAAAACGTTCCTTGGAAAAACCGACAGATGACTAATCACGAGAAAACTTTCCTTTTTGGAACCAACAGAACACAAATCGGGGGAGAAAAACGTTCCATTTGGAACCGACAGTTTCGAAAATAAGCAGAGAAAAATTTTTTGGGAACCAAACAGAAGACTAATAACCAGAAAAACTTTCCGTTTGGAAAACCGACAGATATATAATAAGCAGAGAAAACGTTCCTTTGGAACCGACAGAACGACTAATAAAAAGAGAAAAGTTCCTTTTGGGAACCGACAGATACGACAAATAACCAGAGAAAACGTTCCGTTTGGGGAACCGACAGAACGACTAATAAAGGAAAACTTTCCTTTTGGGGGAAACCGCGATAGACTAATAACAAGAAAACTTTCCCGTTTGGAAACCCCGCGGGGATATGATAACGGCGAGGAAACGTTCCTTTTTTGGAAACCCAAAAACGATACACTAACGGCGGGAGAAAACTTTTCCTTTGGGAAACCGACAGATACGAAATAAAGAAGAAAACGTTCCGTTTGGAACCCAAACCCAAAATTTACGACTTCGGGGGGGAGGAAAGCCCGGTTTCCTTTTTGGAAACCAACAGATACGACTAATCGGCGGAGAAAACGTTCCGTTTGGAACCGACAGATACGACTAATCGGCAGAGAAAACATTCCGTTTGGAACCGACAGATACGACTAATCGGCGGAGAAAACATTCCGTTTGGAACCGACAGATACGACTAATCGGCGGAGAAAACGTTCCGTTTGGAACCGACAGATACGACTAATAAGCAGAGAAAACGTTCCGTTTGGAACCAACAGATACGACTAATCGGCGGAGAAAACGTTCCGTTTGGAACCGACAGATACGACTAATCGGCAGAGAAAACATTCCGTTTGGAACCGACAGATACGACTAATCAGCGGAGAAAACGTTCCGTTTGGAACCAACAGATACGACTAATCGGCGGAGAAAACGTTCCGTTTGGAACCAACAGATACGACTAATCGGCAGAGAAAACGTTCCGTTTGGAACCGACAGATACGACTAATCAGCGGAGAAAACGTTCCGTTTGGAACCAACAGATACGACTAATCGGCGGAGAAAACGTTCCGTTTGGAACCGACAGATACGACTAATCGGCGGAGAAAACGTTCCGTTTGGAACCGACAGATACGACTAATCGGCGGAGAAAACATTCCGTTTGGAACCGACAGATACGACTAATCGGCGGAGAAAACGTTCCGTTTGGAACCGACAGATACGACTAATAAGCAGAGAAAACGTTCCGTTTGGAACCAACAGATACGACTAATCGGCGGAGAAAACGTTCCGTTTGGAACCGACAGATACGACTAATCGGCGGAGAAAACATTCCGTTTGGAACCGACAGATACGACTAATCGGCGGAGAAAACGTTCCGTTTGGAACCGACAGATACGACTAATAAGCAGAGAAAACATTCCGTTTGGAACCGACAGATACGACTAATCGGCGGAGAAAACGTTCCGTTTGGAACCGACAGATACGACTAATCGGCGGAGAAAACGTTCCGTTTGGAACCAACAGATACGACTAATAAGCGGAGAAAACGTTCCGTTTGGAACCGACAGATACGACTAATAAGCAGAGAAAACGTTCCGTTTGGAACCGACAGATACGACTAATCGGCGGAGAAAACGTTCCGTTTGGAACCAACAGATACGACTAATCGGCGGAGAAAACGTTCCATTTGGAACCGACAGATACGACTAATAAGCAGAGAAAACTTTCCGTTTGGAACCAACAGATACGACTAATCGGCGGAGAAAACGTTCCGTTTGGAACCGACAGATACGACTAATCGGCGGAGAAAACATTCCGTTTGGAACCGACAGATACGACTAATCGGCGGAGAAAACGTTCCATTTGGAACCAACAGATACGACTAATAAGCAGAGAAAACGTTCCGTTTGGAACCGACAGATACGACTAATAAGCAATGAAAACGTTCCGTTTGGAACCGACAGATACGACTAATCGGCAGAGAAAACGTTCCGTTTGGAACCGACAGATACGACTAATCGGCAGAGAAAACGTTCCGTTTGGAACCGACAGATACGACTAATAAGCAGAGAAAACGTTCCGTTTGGAACCGACAGATACGACTAATAAGCAGAGAAAACGTTCCGTTTGGAACCGACAGATATGACTAATAAGCAGAGAAAACGTTCCGTTTGGAACCGACAGATACGACTAATAAGCGGAGAAAACGTTCCGTTTGGAACCGACAGATACGACTAATAAGCAGAGAAAACGTTCCGTTTGGAACCGACAGATACGACTAATCGGCGGAGAAAACGTTCCGTTTGGAACCGACAGATACGACTAATAAGCAGAGAAAACGTTCCGTTTGGAACCGACAGATACGACTAATCGGCAGAGAAAACGTTCCGTTTGGAACCGACAGATATGACTAATCGGCGGAGAAAACGTTCCGTTTGGAACCGACAGATACGACTAATAAGCAGAGAAAACGTTCCGTTTGGAACCGACAGATACGACTAATCGGCAGAGAAAACGTTCCGTTTGGAACCGACAGATACGACTAATCGGCAGAGAAAACGTTCCGTTTGGAACCGACAGATACGACTAATAAGCAGAGAAAACGTTCCGTTTGGAACCGACAGATACGACTAATAAGCAGAGAAAACATTCCGTTTGGAACCGACAGATACGACTAATCGGCAGAGAAAACGTTCCGTTTGGAACCGACAGATACGACTAATAAGCGGAGAAAACGTTCCGTTTGGAACCGACAGATACGACTAATAAGCAGAGAAAACGTTCCGTTTGGAACCGACAGATACGACTAATCGGCGAAGAAAACATTCCGTTTGGAACCGACAGATACGACTAATAAGCGGAGAAAACGTTCCGTTTGGAACCGACAGATACGACTAATCGGCGGAGAAAACGTTCCGTTTGGAACCGACAGATACGACTAATCGGCAGAGAAAACATTCCGTTTGGAACCGACAGATACGACTAATAAGCGGAGAAAACGTTCCGTTTGGAACCGACAGATACGACTAATAAGCAGAGAAAACGTTCCGTTTGGAACCGACAGATACGACTAATCAGCAGAGAAAACGTTCCGTTTGGAACCGACAGATACGACTAATAAGCAGAGAAAACGTTCCGTTTGGAACCGACAGATACGACTAATAAGCAGAGAAAACGTTCCGTTTGGAACCGACAGATACGACTAATCGGCGGAGAAAACGTTCCGTTTGGAACCGACAGATACGACTAATAAGCAGAGAAAACGTTCCGTTTGGAACCGACAGATACGACTAATCGGCAGAGAAAACGTTCCGTTTGGAACCGACAGATACGACTAATCAGCAGAGAAAACGTTCCGTTTGGAACCGACAGATACGACTAATCGGCAGAGAAAACGTTCCGTTTGGAACCAACAGATAGGACACATGGGTTCTTGGTGGTTCATGAAAGCTGTTCTAGCTGTCATGACATTTGTAAGATAGAGTTAGACAAATAACGTTAGTCTAAGTCTATAAAGTCTAAGTCTAAGCTAAACCACATCTTTATTTTAGTACAATGCTACACTGGCAATAACTGCTGCAATGCAGAATGAGCAATAACTATCTAACAGCCTGAGCAATAAGTATATATATATAATTCAATTCTATTCCGTTTATTTTTATAGCTCCAATTCACATCATGTCATCTGAAGGCTCTTTCCAGTTCAAGCAGATCTACAGAGCTTTATTGTAGAACATCTATATAAACAGCCATGCAAACGGCCTGTTTAATAACCATGGATAATAATCCTGCTATAATAATAATCTGTTCTATGGGGACGCCCTCTATATACTCTATATTTCCCATCATGCACCTCTTTCCTCCTTTGTCTCCTTCTTCTTCTCCTTCAATTAACTCAATAATTAATCTTCTGAACCATGAAGCTACCTCCACCTTACTCTCAGCTTTAACATAGATCTTCAGGCTCAGAAGTTCTGCAGTGTTTCTGCTGCAGTTTTTATTCGGACTCTCCTGGAACATCTGGACCGATCAGAGAAACTGCAGCCGGAGCTGGAGGCTCTGAGGCCGGTCAGGAGGAACCAGGTGATCCCGGTGATCTTACCTCCGTCAGCAGCAGCTGCTGGTTCCGCTCAGAAACAGAACAAGTAGAATTTCAGTTCTGAGCTGCTAATCAGAGCAGAAACTGCATCCAGGAACAGAAGAAGAAGAATCCTCCTCCTGCTGTTTCTTTCCGCCTGATCACATGATGCAGTCACGTGACCACCGCGCGCCCCCTGAAAAAGGTTCCCGCAGGTTTTCTTTGGGTTCATCTAGTTGGACTATTTCTATAAACTGATTCATTTCCCGTTGAAACTAATTATTCATCAAACTTTAGAGGAAAATAAAATCAGTTTAATGTTTTTTCTAACATCTAGATACTGATAATCGGATGATTTCATCAGAAAATAATCTGATTAGATTAAGAAAACAGGGCGGTCATGTCTCACCCACTGGGAGTGAGACTCACCCATCAGTGTCTTCACTCTCTCACTCCTTTTCTCCATCTTTTCACGCAAAAGAATGACGGACATTAAAACTCAACTCCATTCCAGTTATTTATATCTACAAATGCAATGCCGCGTTTTCAACACAACCTTAGTGCTGCTAACATACAGGGAGGAGCCGGGTTCAGATCCGGTCCGTATTTTTCCACCAGCACACCTGTTCACTGAGCCAGATATTGAAATAGCTGCAAATAGGTTACTACCAGGAAGGACATTTGATTTGATTTAATCTGGACTAAGATTATTCACTTTGTAAATGAATGAAGATTTGAGCGCTTTAGTAAATATGAATAAACTATATAGCAGCTGGCTTAAATAATCAATGTGAGAGTTTAGGATCCAACTGTTTATTTTCTCTACATCTACAGCTGTTTTTATTTATTTTATTTTTTTAATCAGTCTTTAATCCTTGTTTACTCTAATTTAGCCTCCTGGTTTAATCTCAGTTTAGTCCATGTTTTGCTCAGTTTATCTCCCGTTTGATTTTTGGACTAATTAAACCAACAGTAAACTAAACTCTTAAAGCTTTCAGGTTTGACTCACAAACCCAAAGGAGATCCACAACAGAAAAGATTGATTGCATTTTATTTTTCAAAAGATCAGCCAAGAAAAGACCAACTGCATCCAGAGAGGATGTGCAGAACAGCTCAGTTACCCTGAAACCACAGAGGAGAAACCAGAGGGATGCATTTAGGTCACAGGTTTAACTTTCTGAAGGACTGGTGGGGAAATCATTTCAATTCACTGATTATTTCAGTTAACTGATTTTTAGATTTTATTCAAGTATAATATGAGAAAAAAGTCAGAATTCTAAGATTAAAGTCAGAATTCTGAGGAAAAAAATATCAGAATCTGATCCGACTTTTTTCTCATATTATACTGAAGTAAAATGTGTTAACTTTCAGAAATGTTTTCAGTGGTCCTAATCCTGCTCCGTACTCTTTTCTAAATTAGATTTTGCTGCTTTTGAAGGAGGATAATCACTGATGTCGTTAAAATGGAAAACTTCCAATCAATCAATCCACATTTTTCTGGATGGATGAAAGTGAAATTGTTTGCATTCTAGGGAGGAATGATTTATTACTGTTGGCATCAGAATCAGCTGTTATTCATCCTTTTTTTTAATATACATTCATGTTTAACCGTCCATAAATATAAATATCAGTTTATTTTGGTTCTACTGTGTTCTTAACAAAAGGAAAGCTCAATAAACGTGTTTGAGCTCAATTTTGTAAAAAACAAACCCTGTTGAAGGCGTTAGTGTGGAGTAACTGTAGGCCCCCCCCATACCCACCAACTTTCACCAAAGTTACACCCTTTATTTATCTCCATTAAATGTTTAAAAAGTTAATTTCCATCATATCTACCAAAATGAAACCTCTACAGAAATGCTGTCGCATCAGAGAGAGTTTTTATAGAATCTACAGCCTCATAGGTCTGAATTTCCAATAGTAAAAATTAAATAAGATAATTAGGATTTTAATCCTTAGCCTATTACCAATAATCCAGTAATGACTCATTTGTTTCACGTTATTTATTTTACTTGAGTTGCATAGAATTATTAATAAACAGTTTAGAGTAATTTCCCTCTGCGATTATTAAAGTCTGATTCTGATTATTCAGTATTTTGTGGGACTAATACTTTTATTTCAATTCTCTAAAAATCACCAGATTATAAAAAATGATGTATGTTGTGTGAAAATGTTCCACATAACTGCGGATCACTTCTTTTTATTCAGTAACGTTTGTTTCAGTTAAATCCTCAGAGTCTGACACGGTTTCCTCTCCAACGATTTTAAAATCTCGATCCAAGGTTTGCTGAAAAGTTGGCAGCCCTGAGAAAGTGAAGCAAACATACGGTTCATTTCTAAAGCTCTGGTTAGATATTTCTATTTTATATGAAAACATATTCTAGTGATGCTAAAGAGTGACATGGGTTACCATGGTTACAGAGTGAAACGCTGCATTAATTAACATTTTTATTAATTTCCTTATAAAACTGAAATGACTGAACCATGAAATCCCAGAGAAATATTCAATTTAGTATTTATGGAGAAAAGGGAGAAAATAGAAGAGAAAACATAGAACAGAAAACATAGAACTGTTTTTAGCGTTTGAAATGTTCAGACACTTTAACTGAAATAAACAGTTAATGATAAACTCCTCCTGACGCGTTGCCATGGTGACAGAGTAAGCAATGAACATGTGAAGGTGTTTCCATAGCGATGTGTAAACAAGTAGCAGAAAATGTTGGCAGGAAGAGACAGAGCGAAGGAGGAAGAGGAGAGGAAGGAGGAGAAAGAGGAGGAACCCAGCAGGAACCCGGAGGTTCTAGAGTCCATGGATGACGCTCTGAGGAACCTCCTATGCAGGCTGGGTCTGAGCCGCGCTGCCAGCAGCTTTGAGGTGGAGTGGTACGGCTCGGCTCGGACCTTCATCCCAGACGCCTGGACCCACAGGCGGCTCCTCCTGGAGGAGCTGGAGGCCGTCGGCAGGGACAGCCGGCTGCACAGGGAGGAGGTGCTGGAGGCGGAGCAGATCTTGGTCAGAATGCAGAGCGAGATCCGTTTCCGTCGGCTGCAGCAGCAGAAGGTCTGGGAGCAGAAAAGGAGTCTCCTTAGGGAACGCAGGCAGCTGCAGGAACATCTGGAGAACTCCCAGGAGGCGCTGAGGCAGCTGGAGGAGAAACACCAGGCAGCTCTGAGGAGCAAAGCTCTCCTCCACTTACAGAGACAGCGAATCCAGAACCTTCCAGAACCGGATCCCATCCAGGAGAAACCCAAGGAGAAGCTTCCACCAAAGAGCTTCTGCAGACGGGTGAGAGAGCCTAGAGGTTAGAGTCTAGATGTTAGAGCCTAGAGGTTAGAGCCTAGAGGTTAGAGTCTAGAGGGTAGAGTCTAGATGTTAGAGTCTAGATGTTAGAGTCTAGAGGGTAGAGCCTAGAAGTTAGAGCCTAGAGGGTAGAGCCTAGTGGGTAGAGCCTAGAGGGTAGAGTCTAGATGTTAGAGCCTAGAGGGTAGAGCCTAGTGGGTAGAGCCTAGAGGGTAGAGTCTAGAGGTTAGAGCCTAGATGTTAGAGCCTAGAGGGTAGAGCCTAGATGTTAGAGTCTAGATGTTAGAGCCTAGAGGGTAGAGCCTAGTGGGTAGAGCCTAGAGGGTAGAGTCTAGAGGTTAGAGCCTAGAGGTTAGAGCCTAGAGGTTAGAGCCTAGAGGTTAGAGTCTAGAGGGTAGAGTCTAGATGTTAGAGTCTAGAGGGTAGAGTCTAGATGTTAGAGCCTAGAGGGTAGAGTCTAGATGTTAGAGCCTAGAGGTTAGAGCCTAGAGGTTAGAGTCTAGAGGGTAGAGTCTAGATGTTAGAGTCTAGAGGGTAGAGTCTAGATGTTAGAGTCTAGAGGGTAGAGTCTAGATGTTAGAGCCTAGAGGTTAGAGCCTAGAGGTTAGAGTCTAGAGGGTAGAGTCTAGATGTTAGAGTCTAGAGGGTAGAGTCTAGATGTTAGAGCCTAGAGGGTAGAGTCTAGATGTTAGAGCCTAGAGGGTAGAGTCTAGTGGGTAGAGCCTAGTGGTTAGAGTCTAGATGTTAGAGCCTAGAGGGTAGAGCCTAGATGTTAGAGCCTAGAGGGTAGAGTCTAGATGTTAGAGCCTAGATGGTAGAGTCTAGATGTTAGAGCTTAGAGGGTAGAGTCTAGATGTTAGAGCCTAGAGGGTAGAGTCTAGTGGGTAGAGCCTAGTGGTTAGAGTCTAGATGTTAGAGCCTAGAGGGTAGAGCCTAGTGGGTAGAGCCTAGAGGGTAGAGTCTAGATGTTAGAGCCTAGAGGTTAGAGCCTAGAAGTTAGAGCCTAGAGGTTAGAGCCTAGATGTTAGAGCCTAGAGGGTAGAGCCTAGATGTTAGAGTCTAGATGTTAGAGCCTAGAGGGTAGAGCCTAGTGGGTAGAGCCTAGAGGGTAGAGTCTAGAGGGTAGAGTCTAGAGGTTAGAGCCTAGAGGTTAGAGCCTAGAGGTTAGAGCCTAGAGGTTAGAGTCTAGAGGGTAGAGTCTAGATGTTAGAGTCTAGAGGGTAGAGTCTAGATGTTAGAGCCTAGAGGGTAGAGTCTAGATGTTAGAGCCTAGAGGTTAGAGCCTAGAGGTTAGAGTCTAGAGGGTAGAGTCTAGATGTTAGAGTCTAGAGGGTAGAGTCTAGATGTTAGAGTCTAGAGGGTAGAGTCTAGATGTTAGAGCCTAGAGGTTAGAGCCTAGAGGTTAGAGTCTAGAGGGTAGAGTCTAGATGTTAGAGTCTAGAGGGTAGAGTCTAGATGTTAGAGCCTAGAGGGTAGAGTCTAGATGTTAGAGCCTAGAGGGTAGAGTCTAGTGGGTAGAGCCTAGTGGTTAGAGTCTAGATGTTAGAGCCTAGAGGGTAGAGCCTAGATGTTAGAGCCTAGAGGGTAGAGTCTAGATGTTAGAGCCTAGAGGGTAGAGTCTAGATGTTAGAGCCTAGTGGTTAGAGTCTAGATGTTAGAGCCTAGAGGGTAGAGCCTAGTGGGTAGAGCCTAGAGGGTAGAGTCTAGATGTTAGAGCCTAGAGGTTAGAGCCTAGAAGTTAGAGCCTAGAGGTTAGAGCCTAGATGTTAGAGCCTAGAGGGTAGAGCCTAGATGTTAGAGTCTAGATGTTAGAGCCTAGAGGGTAGAGCCTAGTGGGTAGAGCCTAGAGGGTAGAGTCTAGAGGGTAGAGTCTAGAGGTTAGAGCCTAGAGGTTAGAGCCTAGAGGTTAGAGCCTAGAGGTTAGAGTCTAGAGGGTAGAGTCTAGATGTTAGAGTCTAGAGGGTAGAGTCTAGATGTTAGAGCCTAGAGGGTAGAGTCTAGATGTTAGAGCCTAGAGGTTAGAGCCTAGAGGTTAGAGTCTAGAGGGTAGAGTCTAGATGTTAGAGTCTAGAGGGTAGAGTCTAGATGTTAGAGTCTAGAGGGTAGAGTCTAGATGTTAGAGCCTAGAGGTTAGAGCCTAGAGGTTAGAGTCTAGAGGGTAGAGTCTAGATGTTAGAGTCTAGAGGGTAGAGTCTAGATGTTAGAGCCTAGAGGGTAGAGTCTAGATGTTAGAGCCTAGAGGGTAGAGTCTAGTGGGTAGAGCCTAGTGGTTAGAGTCTAGATGTTAGAGCCTAGAGGGTAGAGCCTAGATGTTAGAGCCTAGAGGGTAGAGTCTAGATGTTAGAGCCTAGAGGGTAGAGTCTAGATGTTAGAGCCTAGAGGGTAGAGTCTAGATGTTAGAGCCTAGAGGGTAGAGTCTAGTGGGTAGAGCCTAGTGGTTAGAGTCTAGATGTTAGAGCCTAGAGGGTAGAGCCTAGTGGGTAGAGCCTAGAGGGTAGAGTCTAGATGTTAGAGCCTAGAGGTTAGAGCCTAGAAGTTAGAGCCTAGAGGTTAGAGCCTAGATGTTAGAGCCTAGAGGGTAGAGCCTAGATGTTAGAGTCTAGAAGTTAGAGCCTAGAGGTTAGAGCCTAGATGTTAGAGCCTAGAGGGTAGAGCCTAGATGTTAGAGTCTAGATGTTAGAGCCTAGAGGGTAGAGCCTAGTGGGTAGAGCCTAGAGGGTAGAGTCTAGATGTTAGAGTCTAGAGGGTAGAGTCTAGATGTTAGAGCCTAGAGGGTAGAGTCTAGATGTTAGAGCCTAGAGGTTAGAGCCTAGAGGTTAGAGTCTAGAGGGTAGAGTCTAGATGTTAGAGTCTAGAGGGTAGAGTCTAGATGTTAGAGTCTAGAGGGTAGAGTCTAGATGTTAGAGCCTAGAGGTTAGAGCCTAGAGGTTAGAGTCTAGAGGGTAGAGTCTAGATGTTAGAGTCTAGAGGGTAGAGTCTAGATGTTAGAGCCTAGAGGGTAGAGTCTAGATGTTAGAGCCTAGAGGGTAGAGTCTAGTGGGTAGAGCCTAGTGGTTAGAGTCTAGATGTTAGAGCCTAGAGGGTAGAGCCTAGATGTTAGAGCCTAGAGGGTAGAGCCTAGTGGGTAGAGTCTAGTGGGTAGAGCCTAGAGGGTAGAGTCTAGTGGGTAGAGCCTAGTGGTTAGAGTCTAGATGTTAGAGCCTAGAGGTTAGAGCCTAGAGGTTAGAGCCTAGAGGGTAGAGTCTAGATGTTAGAGCCTAGAGGTTAGAGCCTAGAGGTTAGAGTCTAGAGGGTAGAGCCTAGATGTTAGAGCCTAGAGGGTAGAGTCTAGATGTTAGAGCCTAGAGGGTAGAGTCTAGATGTTAGAGCCTAGAGGGTAGAGTCTAGATGTTAGAGCCTAGAGGGTAGAGTCTAGTGGGTAGAGCCTAGTGGTTAGAGTCTAGATGTTAGAGCCTAGAGGGTAGAGCCTAGATGTTAGAGCCTAGAGGGTAGAGCCTAGTGGGTAGAGTCTAGTGGGTAGAGCCTAGAGTGTAGAGTCTAGTGGGTAGAGCCTAGTGGTTAGAGTCTAGATGTTAGAGGGTAGAGCCTAGATGTTAGAGCCTAGAGGTTAGAGCCTAGAAGTTAGAGCCTAGATGTTAGAGCCTAGAGGTTAGAGCCTAGAGGGTAGAGTCTAGACGTTAGAGTCTAGATGTTAGAGCCTAGAGGGTAGAGTCTAGATGTTAGAGCCTAGAAGGTAGAGCCTAGTGGGTAGAGTCTAGTGGGTAGAGTCTAGATGTTAGAGCCTAGAGGGTAGAGTCTAGTGGGTAGAGCCTAGAGGGTAGAGTCTAGTGGGTAGAGTCTAGTGGGTAGAGTCTAGATGTTAGAGCCTAGAGGGTAGAGCCTAGATGTTAGAGCCTAGAGGGTAGAGCCTAGTGGGTAGAGTCTAGTGGGTAGAGTCTAGATGTTAGAGCCTAGAGGGTAGAGTCTAGTGGGTAGAGCCTAGAGGGTAGAGTCTAGTGGGTAGAGCCTAGATGTTAGAGCCTAGAGGGTAGAGCCTAGTGGGTAGAGTCTAGTGGGTAGAGTCTAGATGTTAGAGCCTAGAGGGTAGAGTCTAGTGGGTAGAGTCTAGATGTTAGAGCCTATAGGGTAGAGCCTAGATGTTAGAGCCTAGAAGGTAGAGCCTAGTGGGTAGAGTCTAGATGTTAGAGCCTAGAGGGTAGAGTCTAGATGTTAGAGCCTAGAAGGTAGAGCCTAGTGGGTAGAGTCTAGTGGGTAGAGTCTAGATGTTAGAGCCTAGAGGGTAGAGCCTTGATGTTAGAGCCTAGAGGGTAGAGCCTAGTGGGTAGAGTCTAGTGGGTAGAGTCTAGATGTTAGAGCCTAGAGGGTAGAGTCTAGTGGGTAGAGCCTAGAGGGTAGAGTCTAGTGGGTAGAGCCTAGTGGTTAGAGTCTAGATGTTAGAGCCTAGAGGGTAGAGCCTAGATGTTAGAGCCTAGAGGTTAGAGCCTAGAAGTTAGAGCCTAGATGTTAGAGCCTAGAGGTTAGAGCCTAGAGGGTAGAGTCTAGAGGTTAGAGTCTAGATGTTAGAGCCTAGAGGGTAGAGTCTAGATGTTAGAGCCTAGAAGTTAGAGCCTAGAGGTTAGAGCCTAGTGGTTAGAGCCTAGATGTTAGAGCCTAGAGGGTAGAGCCTAGAAGTTAGAGCCTAGAGGTTAGAGCCTAGAGGGTAGAGTCTAGTGGGTAGAGCCTAGAGGGTAGAGTCTAGTGGGTAGAGCCTAGTGGTTAGAGTCTAGATGTTAGAGCCTAGAGGGTAGAGCCTAGATGTTAGAGCCTAGAGGTTAGAGCCTAGAAGTTAGAGCCTAGATGTTAGAGCCTAGAGGTTAGAGCCTAGAGGGTAGAGTCTAGAGGTTAGAGTCTAGATGTTAGAGCCTAGAGGGTAGAGTCTAGATGTTAGAGCCTAGAAGTTAGAGCCTAGAGGTTAGAGCATAGTGGTTAGAGCCTAGATGTTAGAGCCTAGAGGGTAGAGCCTAGAAGTTAGAGCCTAGAGGTTAGAGCCTAGAGGGTAGAGTCTAGTGGTTAGAGCCTAGTGGTTAGAGCCTAGAGGTTAGAGCCTAGTGGTTAGAGCCTAGTGGTTAGAGCCTAGATATTAGAGCCTAGAGGTTAGAGCCTAGAAGTTAGAGCCTAGAGATTAGAGCCTAGAGGGTAGAGTCTAGAGGTTAGAGTCTAGATGTTAGAGCCTAGAGGGTAGAGTCTAGATGTTAGAGCCTAGAAGTTAGAGCCTAGAGGTTAGAGCCTAGAGGGTAGAGTCTAGAGGTTAGAGTCTAGATGTTAGAGCCTAGAGGGTAGAGTCTAGATGTTAGAGCCTAGAAGTTAGAGCCTAGTGGTTAGAGCCTAGATGTTAGAGCCTAGAGGGTAGAGCCTAGATGTTAGAGCCTAGAGGTTAGAGCCTAGAAGTTAGAGCCTAGAAGTTAGAGCCTAGTGGTTAGAGCCTAGTGGTTAGAGCCTAGAAGTTAGAGCCTAGTGGTTAGAGCCTAGTGGTTAGAGCCTAGTGGTTAGAGCCTAGAGGTTAGAGCCTAGTGGTTAGAGCCTAGTGGTTAGAGCCTAGAGATTAGAGCCTAGAGGTTAGAGCCTAGAGGGTAGAGCCTAGAGATTAGAGCCTAGAGGTTAGAGCCTAGAGGTCAGAGCCTAGTGGTTAGAGCCTAGTGGTTAGAGCCTAGTGGTTAGAGCCTAGTGGTTAGAGCCTAGAGATTAGAGCCTAGTGGTTAGAGTCTAGAGGTCAGAGCCTAGAGATTAGTGCCTAGTGGTTAGAGCATAGAGGTTAGAGCCTAGTGGTTAGAGGCTAGAGGTTAGAGCCTAGTGGTTAGAGCCTAGTGGTTAGAGCCTAGTGGTTAGAGCTTAGTGGTTAGAGCCTAGTGGTTAGAGCCTAGTGGTTAGAGCCTAGTGGTTAGAGCCTAGAGGTTAGAGCCTAGTGGTTAGAGCCTAGTGGTTAGAGCCTAATGGTTAGAGTCTAGAGGTCAGAGCCTAGAGATTAGAGCCTAGTGGTTAGAGCCTAGTGGTTAGAGCCTAGTGGTTAGAGCTTAGTGGTTAGAGCCTAGTGGTTAGAGCCTAGTGGTTAGAGCCTAGTGGTTAGAGCCTAGAGGTTAGAGCTTAGTGGTTAGAGCCTAGTGGTTAGAGCCTAATGGTTAGAGTCTAGAGGTCAGAGCCTAGAGATTAGAGCCTAGTGGTTAGAGCATAGAGGTTAGAGCCTAGTGGTTAGAGCCTAGAAGTTAGAGCCTAGTGGTTAGAGCCTAGAGGTTAGAGCCTAGTGGTTAGAGCCTAGAGGTTAGAGCCTAGAGGTTAGAGCCTAGAGGTTAGAGCCTAGAGGTTAGAGCTTAGTGGTTAGAGCTTAGTGGTTAGAGCCTAGTGGTTAGAGCCTAGAGGTTAGAGCTTAGTAGTTAGAGCTTAGTGGTTAGAGCCTAGTGGTTAGAGCCTAGTGGTTAGAGCCTAGTGGTTAGAGCAGTACACTTGTGCTCTGAGAAGGTTGCTAATTCCCGGTTCGATCCCCACAGACTGCCACTCTGGGTCCCTGAGCAAGACCCTCACCCCAGCACTGCTCCCCAGGAACTGCACAATGGCAGTCCACTGCTCCCTAAGGAGAAGGGTTAAATGCAGAGTGGATGTCGTTGCTTTGTGACAGTGGAATGACAATAAGGTTGAATTGTATTCTATTCTAGACAGAAAAACATCAGCAGGCTGTGGAGCCCTCAGGAGCCTCCAGCAGAAACCAGCTTCCAGTTGTCCAGCTCCACTATGGACCAGCAGCAGCTGGGAGCTGTGGGTTCTGCCTGGAGCAGAGAGAAGGTAGGATAGATGTTCTAGATCACACCTCTGGGCTCCTTCTCAGTCTGTAGAGCTTCAGGACAGCCTGGATCTGACCTGATGGTGCTTCTGCTGATCTCAGGTCAGGCAGAAGCTGCTGGGAGGAGCGGCTCACTCTGATTGGCCGTCAGGGATGCAGCTTCCACCCCAGCAGAGACTCTGGAGGGAAGCCAGCATCAGCTGCTGCATCAAACTGGGACCCATTAGGAAGCCGAACCGCCTGGTTCAGAATATTCATCCTTGATCTGATTTTAGATCCATGATTAAGAATAAAGGAAAATATTTCTATGAGGATGATGATGATCAGCAGTCTGTGAAGGTAGAGCTGCCCACAAAACCATCCAAAACACTTCACTGGTTCCACTGGGAGACAAATGATTCATTGATCGATTCAGGGTCAAACTCCTCATCCTCCATCTTCCTCCTGTCTCTAATCGTCTCTCAGGTAGGAACTCGTTCTCCTCCAGACTGATGTAGGAGTTTAGATCCATCAGTCAGCTGGTAGTGTCCCCCTAAATGACCTCATCTGTTCCTTAGAAGCAATCATCCATTTTATCAGGCTGCATCATTCTATATTCTGCAGCTCTACAATTCTAGATGCCACAACTCTGGGTCCCTCCCCCTGCAGCTGGCATGTGGGGATCCAGGGGCCTCTGGTTTCATTGGTTGGTCCAAAGAATAGAGAAATAAGATGTGGAACAGAAAATGGATGGTTGTTCTGCAAAGCTCCTCTAACGCTCAGACTTTCCTTCATGTCCCTCCTTGGCTTTGCTCTCACACTGAATCCTGATGTTTGGCTCTGGATTCGCCCGTTAACATCTGGATGTTTGGCTCTGAATTCACCCGTTAACATCTGGATGTTTGGCTCCGAATTCACCCGTTAACATCTGGATGTTTGGCTCTGAATTCATCCATTAACATCTGGATGTTTGGCTCTGGATTCGCCCGTTAACATCTGGATGTTTGGCTCTGAATTCACCCGTTAACATCTGGATGTTTGGCTCCAAATTCACCCGTTAACATCTGGATGTTTGGCTCTGAATTCACCCGTTAACATCTGGATGTTTGGCTCTGAATTCATCCATTAACATCTGGATGTTTGGCTCTGAATTCATCCATTAACATCTGGATGTTTGGCTCTGAATTCACCCGTTAACATCTGGATGTTTGGCTCTGAATTCATCCATTAACATCTGGATGTTTGGCTCTGAATTCATCCATTAACATCTGGATGTTTGGCTCTGAATTCACCCGTTAACATCTGGATGTTTGGATCCGAATTCATCCGTTAATATCTGGATGTTTGGCTCTGAATTCACCCGTTAACATCTGGATGTTTGGATCCGAATTCATCCGTTATCATCTGGATGTTTGGCTCTGAATTCACCCGTTAACATCTGGATGTTTGGATCCGAATAGATCCGTTATCATCTGGATGTTTGGCTCTGAATTCGCCCGTTAACATCTGGATGTTTGGATCCGAATTCATCCGTTAACATCTGGATGTTTGGCTCTGAATTCATCCGTTAACATCTGGATGTTTGGCTCTGGATTCACCCGTTAACATCTGGATGTTTGGCTCTGAATTCACCCATTAACATCTGGATGTTTGGATCCGAATTCATCCCTTAACATCTGGATGTTTGGATCCGAATTCATCCGTTAACATCTGGATGTTTGGCTCTGAATTCACCCGTTAACATCTGGATGTTTGGATCCGAATTCATCCGTTAACATCTGGATGTTTGGCTCTGAATTCGCCCGTTAACATCTGGATGTTTGGATCCGAATTCATCCGTTAACATCTGGATGTTTGGCTCTGAATTCATCCGTTAACATCTGGATGTTTGGCTCTGGATTCACCCGTTAACATCTGGATGTTTGGCTCTGGATTCACCCGTTAACATCTGGATGTTTGGATCCGAATTCATCCCTTAACATCTGGATGTTTGGATCCGAATTCATCCGTTAACATCTGGATGTTTGGCTCTGAATTCACCCGTTAACATCTGGATGTTTGGATCCGAATTCATCCGTTAACATCTGGATGTTTGGCTCTGAATTCACCCGTTAACATCTGGATGTTTGGATCCGAATTCATCCCTTAACATCTGGATGTTTGGATCCGAATAGATCCGTTATCATCTGGATGTTTGGCTCTGAATTCGCCCTTTAACATCTGGATGTTTGGATCCGAATTCATCCGTTAACATCTGGATGTTTGGCTCTGAATTCACCCGTTAACATCTGGATGTTTGGCTCTGAATTCACCCGTTAACATCTGGATGTTTGGCTCTGAATTCACCCGTTAACATCTGGATGTTTGGATCCGAATTCATCCCTTAACATCTGGATGTTTGGCTCTGAATTCATCCGTTAACATCTGGATGTTTGGCTCTGAATTCACCCGTTAACATCTGGATGTTTTGGCTCTGAATTCATCCATTAACATCTGGATGTTTGGCTCTGAATTCATCCATTGACATCTGGATGTTTGGATCCGAATTCATCCGTTATCATGTGGATGTTTGGATCCGAATTCATCCGTTAACATCTGGATGTTTGGCTCTGAATTCATCCATTAACATCTGGATGTTTGGCTCTGAATTCATCCATTAACATCTGGATGTTTGGATCCGAATTCATCCGTTAACATCTGGATGTTTGGCTCTGAATTCACCCGTTAACATCTGGATGTTTGGATCTGAATTCACCCGTTAACATCTGGATGTTTGGATCCGAATTCATCCGTTAACATCTGGATGTTTGGCTCTGAATTCATCCGTTAACATCTGGATGTTTGGCTCTGAATTCATCCGTTAACATCTGGATGTTTGGCTCTGAATTCATCCGTTAACATCTGGATGTTTGGCTCTGAATTCATCCGTTAACATCTGGATGTTTGGATCCGAATTCATCCGTTATCATGTGGATGTTTGGCTCTGAATTCACCCGTTAACATCTGGATGTTTGGCTCTGAATTCATCCATTAACATCTGGATGTTTGGATCCGAATTCATCTGTTATCATGTGGATGTTTGGCTCTGAATTCACCCGTTAACATCTGGATGTTTGGCTCTGAATTCACCCGTTAACATCTGGATGTTTGGATCTGAATTCACCCGTTAACATCTGGATGTTTGGCTCTGAATTCATCCATTAACATCTGGATGTTTGGCTCTGAATTCATCCATTAACATCTGGATGTTTGGATCCGAATTCATCCGTTAGTACGTGGATGTTTGGCTCTGAATTCACCCGTTAACATCTGGATGTTTGGATCCGAATTCATCCGTTAACATCTGGATGTTTGGCTCTGAATTCATCCGTTAACATCTGGATGTTTGGCTCTGAATTCACCCGTTAATATCTGGATGTTTGGCTCTGAATTCACCCGTTAACATCTGGATGTTTGGCTCTGAATTCACCCGTTAACATCTGGATGTTTGGCTCTGAATTCATCCGTTAACATCTGGATGTTTGGCTCTGAATTCATCCATTAACATCTGGATGTTTGGATCCGAATTCATCCGTTATCATGTGGATGTTTGGCTCTGAATTCACCCGTTAACATCTGGATGTTTGGTTCTGAATTCACCCGTTAACATCTGGATGTTTGGATCTGAATTCACCCGTTAACATCTGGATGTTTGGCTCTGAATTCATCCGTTAACATCTGGATGTTTGGCTCTGAATTCACCCGTTAACATCTGGATGTTTGGATCCGAATTCATCCGTTAACATCTGGATGTTTGGCTCTGAATTCATCCGTTAACATCTGGATGTTTGGCTCTGAATTCACCCGTTAACACCTGGATGTTTTGATCCAAATTCATCCGTTAACATCTGGATGTTTGGATCTGAATTCATCCGTTATCATGTGGATGTTTGGATCCGAATTCATCCGTTATCATGTGGATGTTTGGATCCGAATTCATCCGTTATCATGTGGATGTTTGGCTCTGAATTCATCCGTTAACATCTGGATGTTTGGCTCTGAATTCACCCGTTAACATCTGGATGTTTTGATCCAAATTCACCCGTTGACATCTGGATGTTTGGCTCCGAATTCACCCGTTAACATCTGGATGTTTATTGATCCGAATTCATCCGTTATCATCTGGATGTTTGGCTCTGAATTCACCCGTTAACATCTGGATGTTTGGCTCTGAAGTCACCCGTTAACATCTGGATGTTTGGATCTGAATTCACCCGTTAACATCTGGATGTTTGGCTCCGGATTCATCCGTTAACATCTGGATGTTTGGCTCTGAATTCACCCGTTAACATCTGGATGTTTGGCTCTGAATTCACCCGTTAACATCTGGATATTTGGCTCTGAATTCACCCGTTAACATCTGGATGTTTGGCTCTGAATTCATCCGTTAACATCTGGATGTTTGGCTCTGAATTCATCCATTAACATCTGGATGTTTGGATCCGAATTCATCCGTTATCATGTGGATGTTTGGCTCTGAATTCACCCGTTAACATCTGGATGTTTGGTTCTGAATTCACCCGTTAACATCTGGATGTTTGGATCTGAATTCACCCGTTAACATCTGGATGTTTGGCTCTGAATTCATCCGTTAACATCTGGATGTTTGGCTCTGAATTCACCCGTTAACATCTGGATGTTTGGATCCGAATTCATCCGTTAACATCTGGATGTTTGGCTCTGAATTCATCCGTTAACATCTGGATGTTTGGCTCTGAATTCACCCGTTAACACCTGGATGTTTTGATCCAAATTCATCCGTTAACATCTGGATGTTTGGATCCGAATTCATCCGTTATCATGTGGATGTTTGGATCCGAATTCATCCGTTATCATGTGGATGTTTGGATCCGAATTCATCCGTTATCATGTGGATGTTTGGCTCTGAATTCATCCGTTAACATCTGGATGTTTGGCTCTGAATTCACCCGTTAACATCTGGATGTTTTGATCCAAATTCACCCGTTGACATCTGGATGTTTGGCTCCGAATTCACCCGTTAACATCTGGATGTTTGGATCCGAATTCATCCGTTATCATCTGGATGTTTGGCTCTGAATTCACCCGTTAACATCTGGATGTTTGGCTCTGAAGTCACCCGTTAACATCTGGATGTTTGGATCTGAATTCACCCGTTAACATCTGGATGTTTGGCTCCGAATTCATCCGTTAACATCTGGATGTTTGGCTCTGAATTCACCCGTTAAAATCTGGATGTTTGGATCCGAATTCATCCGTTAACATCTGGATGTTTGGCTCTGAATTCATCCGTTAATATCTGGATGTTTGGCTCTGAATTCATCCGTTAACATCTGGATGTTTGGCTCTGAATTCACCCGTTAACATCTGGATGTTTAGCTCTGATTGAGAGCGGATGAAGGGATGATAGACAGCACAGGTGAGGGTGGGAAGTAATAGGCAGAACGTTGGTTGGTTGATGGAGAACTCAATATTTACAGCAGATGTTGATCCTGGCCTCCATCAGGAGGTTTCATTGAATGATTTCAGATTAAATGATTTTTGAGTTTTCCTTTTCTAACATTCCAACCTCATCATTTCCAGCTCTGATTTATTTCCCTGCTTGGTTTTCCTGCTCCTTTCATTCTGCTGCTCAGCTCTCAGTCAGCAGATCCTCCATCGATGAACCTACAGGCTTGTTTGTTCCTTTCCAGATGTTCTGGAACCTTCTTATTTATTAGAAAAAAAACCCAGATGTTCTAGAACCTTCTTATTTATTAGAATAAACCTCCAGATGTTCTGGAACCTTCTTATTTATTAGAATAAACCTCCAGATGTCCTGGGACCTTCTTATTTATTAGAAACAAAACCCCAGATGTTCTGGAACCTTCTTATTAGAATAAACCTCCAGATGTTCTGGAACCTTCTTATTTATTAGAAACAAAACCCCAGATGTTCTGGAACCTTCTTATTTATTAGAATAAACCTCCAGATGTTCTGGAACCTTCTTATTTATTAGAAACAAAACCCCAGATGTTCTGGAACCTTCTTATTTATTAGAATAAACCTCCAGATGTCCTGGGACCTTCTTATTTATTAGAAACAAAACCCCAGATGTTCTGGAACCTTCTTATTAGAATAAACCTCCAGATGTTCTGGAACCTTCTTATTTATTAGAATAAACCTCCAGATGTTCTGGGACCTTCTTATTTATTAGAATAAACCTCCAGATGTTCTGGAACCTTCTTATTTATTAGAAACAAAACCCCAGATGTTCTGGAACCTTCTTATTTATTAGAATAAACCTCCAGATGTTCTGGGACCTTCTCATTTATTAGAATAAACCCCCAGATGTTCTGGAACCTTCTTATTTATTAGAAACAAAACCCCAGATGTTCTGGAACCTTCTTATTTATTAGAATAAACCTCCAGATGTTCTGGGACCTTCTTATTTATTAGAATAAACCTCCAGATGTTCTGGAACCTTCTTATTTATTAGAAAAAAAAACCCAGATGTTCTAGAACCTTCTTATTTATTAGAATAAACCTCCAGATGTTCTGGAACCTTCTTATTAGAAAAAAAAACCCCAGATGTTCTGGAACCTTCTTATTTATTAGAATAAACCTCCAGATGTTCTGGAACCTTCTTATTTATTAGAATAAACCTCCAGATGTTCTGGAACCTTCTTATTTATTAGAAAAAAAACCCCAGATGTTCTAGAACCTTCTTATTTATTAGAATAAACCTCCAGATGTTCTGGAACCTTCTTATTTATTAGAAACAAAACCCCAGATGTTCTGGGACCTTCTTATTTATTAGAATAAACCTCCAGATGTTCTGGAACCTTCTTATTTATTAGAAAAAAAAACCCAGATGTTCTAGAACCTTCTTATTTATTAGAATAAACCTCCAGATGTTCTGGAACCTTCTTATTAGAAAAAAAAACCCCAGATGTTCTGGAACCTTCTTATTTATTAGAATAAACCTCCAGATGTTCTGGAACCTTCTTATTTATTAGAATAAACCTCCAGATGTTCTGGAACCCTTCTTATTTATTAGAAAAAAAACCCCAGATGTTCTAGAACCTTCTTATTTATTAGAATAAACCTCCAGATGTTCTGGAACCTTCTTATTAGAAAAAAAAACCCCAGATGTTCTAGAACCTCTCTTATTTATTAGAATAAACCTCCAGATGTTCTGGAACCTTCTTATAGAAAAAAAACCCCAGATGTTCTGGAACCTTCGTTATTAGAAAAAAAACAACCCCAGATGTTCTGGAACCTTCTTATTTATTAGAAAAGAAAAGCCCCAGATGTTCTAAGAACCTCTATTTATTAGAATAAACCTCCAGATGTTCTGGAACCTTCTTATTTATTAGAATAAACCTCCAGATGTTCTGGAACCTTCTTATTTATTAAAACAAACCCCAGATGTCAGAACATCTATAGAAACAAAACCCCAGATGTTCTGGGACCTTCTTATTTATTAGAATAAACCTCCAGATGTTCTGGAACCTTCTTATTTATTAGAAACAAAACCCCAGATGTTCTGGAATCTTCTTATTTATTAGAATAAACCTCCAGATGTTCTGGGACCTTCTTATATATTAGAATAAACCTCCAGATGTTCTGGACCTTCTTATATATTAGAATAAACCTCCAGATGTTCTGAAACCTTCTTATTTATTAGAAACAAAACCCCAGATGTTCTGGAACCTTCTTATTTATTAGAATAAACCTCCAGATGTTCTGAAACCTTCTTATTTATTAGAATAAACCTTTAGATGTTCTAGAACCTTCACCAGGACTTGTCCTGCTCTTCTGTCCTCAGTCTGTCTTCACAATCCTGAAACTAAAACCGTTCTTCTCCAGATGTTTCTCCTCCTGTGTGAGCTGCTGTTCCAGCTCCTTCCCCGTCTCATCAGGAGCTGCACCCATCCTGCTCAGCAGCCGTTCAGTGGAGGAGGAGTAACGTCCTTCATCTTCATCCTTCTCCTCATCCCTCCGTCTGCGTTCCTGTCCAGGTTCTTCCACCAGCAGCTTCAGACGCTTCAGGTGATGCAGAGCTCTGGAACATCAACAAACATCCAGGAAGCAAATCAGACGTCTTTGTTCTCTGAACTGCTTCTCTAGAACCTTAAAGGACAATTAAAGCCAAAGTTGGACAAAAATGATCCTTCATGAAGTTTCATCTGCTGTAAGAGAAATCTGGACCTCCTGGAGGTGGGGGGGTGCAGAGGCTCTCCACAGCTTCACAGAAAATGACCTTTTTATTCCCATAAAAACGATCCTGATAAACCAGACTAACAGAGAGATTAAATGTGTAATCTAGTGCAGAGGGGGCCGCCGTTGGCCCTGGCCGCTGCAGAGGGGCCGCCGTTGGCCCTGGTTGCCGTTAGCCTCGTAGCTACAATGGTTGTCGCGGTCCTCTCAACTTTAGAAATAGTTTTTTTAATCACGCGGTAAATGGACCATATAGTGACGCTTTAAAGTATAATTTTCTTGCCTAAAATGATCTTAAAACGTCCTTTTATTGAACAACAGAAAGAGAAGTTTTAACTTTCAATGGAGCGCTTCATTAGAAGCTGCTGCTGTGACGTGCAGCTTTGTCGTCCCGCCATCAAACCCCGCCTGCTTTGCATCCAGACATTCAAAACACATCTCCGCGTTGTGATTGGCCCACCAGTTCTAGGGCCGGGGCATTGATGGAGGCTAGACCACTCACAGGCAAAGATGATTCTGGCCGCTGGCAGGTGGGGCTGGTTTGCTAGGCTACATAAAAAGCCAGAATATTTCTCAAGGTTTGTTATTGTTAAACGTTTAACCACAGTGTTTGTTTTGACCCTGACAGGACCTTCACAGATAAGAGAGAAAAACTGTCCAGATCAGAACAGGGCTGATTACCAAGCAGTAAAGGCCGAATGATGAACTGTTCTCTTTAAAAACAGAAAAACATAAAGCGCCCACTGGGTGAAATCCATCGACCTCCGTTTATTTAACTGGGTGTGTGTGTGTGTGTGGCCATGTCTTTAATACCTGGTGGGGACAATTTCCTAGTAATATGCTACATTTTGGGGACTCATAGGTACTTAGGTACAACAACTGGTCCCCATAAGGAAAGTTTCTCTTCTTGGGGTGGGGGTTAGGTTTAGGACTAAGGTGTGAATTGAGTTTAGGTTAGGTTTAGGGATAGGTATGGGTCGGTAATGGTTAGGGTTAGGCCATATAAATTAGTGGGAAATGAATGGAAGTCAATGGAAGGTCCCCACAAGGATATTGTGACACAACATGTGTGTGTGTGTGTGTGTGTGTGTGTGTGTGTGTGTGGAGGCTCAGATCTTGCCAGAGTTAACAAAGGTTAAAAAGTTTCTGCAGCACTCGAGGTTTCTTAGAGCTCAGTGGCTCCATCATCCTTCAGAGGAAGAAGTTTGAGACGAGCAGAACTCTTCCTAGACCTGGCCGACCAGCCAACCTGAGCAACAGTGAAAGAGGTAAAGAAGAAGCCAAAGATCACTGACTGAGCTCCAGACATGCAGGAGGGAGAAAGTTCCAGAAAGTCTAATCTCACTGCAGCCCTCCACCAGTCGAGGCCTTATGGCAGAGCGGCCCGATGGAAACCTCTCCTCAGAGCAGGACAGATGAAAAAACACAGGAAGGACTCCCAGACTATGAGGAAGAGGATTTGTGATGTTAGTTCTAACCGAGGGGCCGGGCGGTTCGGTCCCCGAGGGGCCGGGCGGTTCGGTCACCGAGGGGCCGGGCGGTTCGGTCAGCGAAGGGCCGGGCGGTTCGGTCCCCGAGGGGCCGGGCGGTTCGGTCAGCGAAGGGCCGGGCGGTTCGGTCACCGAGGGGCCGGGCGGTTCGGTCACCGATCAGCCGGGCGGTTCAGTCACCGATGGCCCAGGCGGTTGGCTCCACCAGAGCAACTTGAGCTTTGGACCTAGAGCCCAAACGGAGGTCAGGGTTCTGACCTGTAATTACCTCTGCAGGGACGGACTGCCTGGAAAACTCTGCAGATCTGCTTCACCTTCGACTGCCTGAAACACAGAAGGTTAGATCAGAGTCAGAACTGAACACCTGGAGCAAGCTTTGCTCTCTGAAGAGGTTCTGGTGCTGGGCGGGTCCAGGCCGGGTGACTGCACCTCTTTCTCTGGCGTCTTTAGACAGTCGATGCCGACTGGCCGCCTCTGAAGCTCCGCCTCCACAGCCTCCAACCTGAACAGCAGCTGTTTCATAGCCTCCAGTGGTCCAGGCTGCTTCCAGCTGCTGTTTCCGTGTCCGAGGATCTGGAAGAGGAACCAGAACATTTTATCTCTCCTCCTGGTCTGGTTTACCACCAGTTTACATCTAGAGAGTTCAGCATCCATCCGTTTCCTGCTGTGAGTCAACTGTAACGGTTGCTAGGGAACAGAGTGTATGGCTGTAAAAGCCGTGGAAGGCTGGACCTGTTTGAATCCACAGCCTTACCCCTTGCTCACACTGGCTCCGGTGCGGTTACCGAGCCGACGGAGACCGCAACTCCCGCACACCCCCTCTCACACCGCCCTTTTGACTACGGTGCGGTGCGGCTCTGCGGCTCTGGCAACAGGTCCGGAGATTTAACTCGCGAGAACAGAAGTTCACTTGAGTTCAAGTAACTTCACGCGATAACACGGCCCAAATAAGGATATTTGCGAGAGCTTGTTGCGGAGGGCTCCGGCACGCCGCAAGGATAGCTTTCTTGCGGAATTTTCTGCAGCGCCGGAGTGTCTCGGTAACCGCAGCCGGACAGCTCAGCAGCCGGTGAGAGAGGTTTACGTCTTTTTAATGACTTGGAATCACTGCGGCGCCGCACCCACCGCACCGCAACGGCAAGACCGGAGTCGGTGTGAGCCGAGGGTAAACTCTTCCGTTCTCCTCATTTACATAGACTTCAAAGAACAGTTCAGGTGGACCGGGTCCATGCAGGACCCAGTTCAGGTAGACCAGGTCTATGCAGGACCCAGTTCAGGTAGACCAGGTCTATGCAGGACCCAGTTCAGGTAGACCGGGTCTATGCAGGACCCAGTTCAGGTAGACCAGGTCTATGCAGGACCCAGTTCAGGTAGACCAGGTCTATGCAGGACCCAGTTCAGGTAGACCAGGTCTATGCAGGACCCAGTTCAGGTAGACCGGGTCTATGCAGGACCCAGTTCAGGTAGACCGGGTCTATGCAGGACGCAGTTCAGGTAGACCGGGTCTATGCAGGACCCAGTTCAGGTAGACCGGGTCCTTGCAGGACCCAGTTCAGGTAGACCGGGTCTATGCAGGACCCAGTTCAGGTAGACCGGGTCCTTGCAGGACCCAGTTCAGGTAGACCGGGTCCATGCAGGACCCAGTTCAGGTAGACCGGGTCCTTGCAGGACACAGTTCAGGTAGACCGGGTCCTTGCAGGACCCAGTTCAGGTAGACCGGGTCTATGCAGGACCCAGTTCAGGTAGACCGGGTCCTTGCAGGACCCAGTTCAGGTAGACCGGGTCCTTGCAGGACCCAGTTCAGGTAGACCGGGTCCTTGCAGGACCCAGTTCAGGTAGACCGGGTCCTCTCTAAAATTGAACAAATCCAGAGAGTTTTCTCCTCCTCCGTCTTGCGTTTTGTCCTCCTTCCTCCCCTTCCTCCCCCCCTCCCTCCCTGACGTCTCCATCTCAGGTTTTTCTCACGTTATCGTCCATCAGGTTGATGGATTATCAGGTTTTTAGGTTGCCATGGCGGCGCTCCGAAGCAGCGGCCAAGAACGGCTCCTCTAGACAGTTTCTATAAGTTCACATAATATGCAGCTAAATGTGATACAGACCAGACAACAAACCTGCATCTATGATCGCCAACGGCTGCAGAGGGGGGCTACCTGCGAAGCTAAGGAGAGGCTGCAGAGGGGGGCTACCTGCGAAGCTAAGGAGAGGCCCCAGAGGGGGGCTACCTGCGAAGCTAAGGCGAGGCTGCAGAGGGGGGCTACCTGTGAAGCTAAGGAGAGGCTGCAGAGGGGGGCTACCTGCGAAGCTAAGGAGAGGCCGCAGAGGGGGGCTACCTGCGAAGCTAAGGCGAGGCCGCAGAGAGGGGCTACCTGCGAAGCTAAGGAGAGGCTGCAGAGGGGGGCTACCTGCGAAGCTAAGGAGAGGCCGCAGAGGGGGGCTACCTGCGAAGCTAAGGAGAGGCCGCAGAGGGGGGCTACCTGCGAAGCTAAGGAGAGGCTGCAGAGGGGGGCTACCTGCGAAGCTAAGGAGAGGCCGCAGAGGGGGGCTACCTGCGAAGCTAAGGCGAGGCCGCAGAGGGGGGCTACCTGCGAAGCTAAGGAGAGGCTGCAGAGGGGGGCTACCTGCGAAGCTAAGGCGAGGCTGCAGAGGGGGGCTACCTGTGAAGCTAAGGAGAGGCCGCAGAGGGGGGCTACCTGCGAAGCTAAGGAGAGGCCCCAGAGGGGGGCTACCTGCGAAGCTAAGGCGAGGCTGCAGAGGGGGGCTACCTGCGAAGCTAAGGAGAGGCTGCAGAGGGGGGCTACCTGCGAAGCTAAGGCGAGGCTGCAGAGGGGGGCTACCTGCGAAGCTAAGGAGAGGCTGCAGAGGGGGGCTACCTGCGAAGCTAAGGAGAGGCCCCAGAGGGGGGCTACCTGCGAAGCTAAGGAGAGGCTGCAGAGGGGGGCTACCTGCGAAGCTAAGGAGAGGCCCCAGAGGGGGGCTACCTGCGAAGCTAAGGAGAGGCTGCAGAGGGGGGCTACCTGCGAAGCTAAGGAGAGGCCCCAGAGGGGGGCTACCTGCGAAGCTAAGGAGGCACTCCATGACTGTTTTAAACGCTCTGACTGGAACATCTGATAACTTATTAAATATTGATGAGTCTGCCATGACTGTCAGCCTCCATCAGCCAAGGCATTGAGGACGTCAGCATCACTAAGAGCATCACCACCCGGCCGACCAGCCACCCTGGATAAATGGAGACGTCCTTCATCACAGATACCCTCACCTGGACTGGAAACACCACCTCACTGGTCCAAAGGGCCCAGAAGCGCTTGGACTTCCTGCCCCCCCCCCCCATCCTCCCCACCTTCTCCAGAAGCACCATAGAGAGTGTTCTGCCCCCCCCCCCATAGAGAGCGTTCTGAGCAGCTGTCTCACTGTGTGGTGTGGAGGCTGCAGCGCCTCAGACTGGAAGAAGGTGAGAACAGCAGAGAGGATCATGGGGGCTCCTCTGCCCTCCATTAAAGACATTTCATCCCAGCGCTGCGTGTCCCGTGACATCATCAATGACCCCCCCCCCCCCCCCCCCCCACACACAAAGGACTGTTCTCCCTGCTGCCCTCTGGGAAGAGGCTTCATTCAATGCAGGACCAGCAGGTTCTGCAGCAGCTTCTTCCCCACCGCCATCACACTGAGGAATGATTGTAAAATGGGTTATTGGATTTTATTATATTTATTATATTTTATCATTATATTTAAAAAAAAGAAAATGTTAGAACTGTAAATATACAGTCATGTTTATATTAATGTTTTTATATATATTTTTTAACGATCTTTCAAGGCTGCACTTTTAAAAAGATGAAAGGGACCAGAGAGCTGCTCCAAAATAAATGTCTTTGTGTTTCAAACTAAAAGACGAATAAAACCTGAAGATCTAAAAACATCTAAAGATCAACCAGAACCAGCAGAGGAGACCATAGAGGAGGAACCTTGGTATCCTGGTGGTTCTGACCAGCCTCCAGCTCAGCTGCTGCTGTGAAGGTCCGACATGGCCGGGTTAGAGCGGGAAAGTTCTGATCGGGCCGATGGCGCCGAGACCAGGAGAGCGGCAGGTCATCCGTGCCGACAGACGCTGCTGAAAGAGAGAGCAAAGGTTTAAAGGCTGGGTCACATTTCCTGCTGCTTCACCTGGTTCTGTAGCCTGGGTGCCATTCCGAACTTAGTCCCGCCCACAACGTTTGAGGTCGGGAAGTTCGGTCTGGCATTGCTCCATAGTAGCGCGAGTATTATCGCCCACTGTCAGGCGATCCAATCAAATTGTCAGGGCGGGCTTTATACGATGATGGACAGATGATCAACAGCAACGTAATCAACCATGTGACCAAAGTGCGCTTGGGTGACAACAACAATGGCTGCCGCTGGAGAGTTGAGGTGAGTAGATTCTGCTATTAGGTCTGTTCTAGAAGATATCGACAGCAAATTAATTTTAAAAGAGGAACAGAGAAACGCGATCAAGTCTCATTTTCTTATTCTGGGCGTGAAACTGCACGCTTTGATTTTTGTGGACAACAACTATGCGTCGCTTAACATACGTCACACACTCCGTTGCTCTGATTGGTTGTAGGTCTATCCAATTGAGTGCAGCTCTATGGAGCAGCATCAGACTCATTCTGACTAGAATGGAGTCGGACTACGTCAGGCTACTGGTTCTGGGCTCTGACGGCCCGCCGGGTCAGAACCGGGTCAGACATAAACCCAGAAACTCAACAAGTTCTTGGTTTTTTTTCAACCCGGTTCTGATCCGTTCTAATGTGACTGAGGGAAAGGCTCACCTTGACCTGCAGAACGTTCTGCTCCTCCAGAACTCAGCGAGTCCAGCACCTGATCGGCCTTTTGGATCAGCGCCTCCATCCTGTTACCGGGCAGCAGAGCCAGCGACCCGGTTCTACCTCTGAACCAAGCCGCCGGCTCGTCAGAACCCGTCCCTCCTGCAGCCATGGCAGAAATCTGCTGGGCCAGCTGGAGCCTCAGAGCCCGGAGCGTCTCCTCACCTCCGACCTGAACAGAACATTTGAAGACCGGATCAGAACCATCTGAGCTTCAGCACCAGCAGCAGCTCCAACATCTCAGAACCTCTCCATCCTCCGGCCCACCTGTCTGGGTCCAGCCTGTGGTTCCTCAGCCTCCGTCCAGCCTGGATCTTCACCTCCTGGAACATCTGAGGAAACAGGAAGAGGCGCTAGGTTCTGGACCGGTTCTACTGGAGACACAGACCATCTAAACCCCCCTAGATCCCCTCATATGGACCCAAAACATCCCTGAGATCCTCTGGAAGGTCAGATGGTACCGAGACAAAACCAGATGGGAGCCGAAACGGGCCTTGATGGATTTATTCCCTCCTGTGGCTCCATGAGTTCTCCAAGTGTTCTCAGAGTGTTTTCCATGTGTTTGCTGAGTGTTTTTCCGTGTGTTCTCCGCATGTTCTGCATGTTCTCCGTTCTTTTATACACTTCGGGTGAAGAAAATGGAGCAAACCGCTCTAAACGCCATGTGATGTCACTGCGTGCCTCATTCCAGGGAAATCTAGCGTTTGCTCGCCAACGCAGCACGCTGCATTTCTACGGTAAAAAAGGCTTTTGGTGGTTTGATGGAAATTGTTTGTGTTGTTTGCTTTGCGTTGGATTTCAGACGCCAGCAGGATTCAACCGAAAGAGGAAGTGGAATCATTGTGATCTCATCACGCCTGCATGTGTCAGAAATGTCCTGAGATTAGACCTATAGACTGCCGGAGATAGGCTCCGCCCCCCATCGCAACCCTGACAAGGACCTAGTGGGAGAAGATGGATCCATCACTCTTTCTCCTTCCATTTCCTGTGAGGTCTCCTGGCGCCACCTTGTGGCCGCAGGCTGCTTTGGAAACCAGCTGTAGTTCTGCATCAGGAACAGAGGCTGAGGCGTGTGGAGGGAATAAGAACCTTCATCCATGTTCGGCTTAATGAACCGGTTCTGTCCGGTTTGGAGCTCCTTTAAAGCAGCTATGAAGAATCTTCAGATGTTTGAAGGTGTTCTGGAACCAGCTGAACCAGGTTCTACTAACTAGTTGGGCAGTAGGGTTCATACCTGGCTGGTCCCGCAGCTCCGGGTCGCTGACGCTGCAGTGCCGCACCCAGGCCGGGTACTGCAGGTCCGGCAGGCTGCTGATCTCAGAACCGTCCATGTGGGCCTTGTTGCTGGTCAACCAGTGGGGGAGGTGGAGATCTGCAGCTGTCAGAGGAGACTGAGGAGACAAGTACGGTTAGGACAGAAACTCTGAACCCAGAGGAGCATTAATGAGCCCAGGAGAACACCTACAGAACCTCTGTCCACCGACGGGTCCGACTCCGGTTCTCCTCTGTGCCTGGAGGACAGGGCATAGAAAAGACAAGCAAAGGATCACCTGACCAGTTCTGACCTGTTCCGACCTGTTCTGACCTGTTCTGACCAGTTCTGACCTGTTCTGACCAGTTCTGTTTGAACAAGAATACCAGAACCGACCCGTTTAGTTCAAAGCCGGATCCAGTTCAGAAAAAACAGAACCATGAGAAACAAGGAGGTGGATCAAGATCCTGGACCGGACTGGAACAGGTTCTCCTCTATGGACCAACTCCTGTTCCATCCATCCATCATCCATCATCCATCCATCATCCATCCATCCATCATCCATCCATCCATCATCCATCCATCCATCATCCATCCATCCATCATCCATCCATCCATCCATCATCCATCCATCCATCCATCATCCATCCATCATCCATCCATCCATCATCCATCCATCATCCATCCATCATCCATCCATCCATCATCCATCCATCCATCATCCATCCATCCATCCATCATCCATCCATCCATCCATCATCCATCCATCCATCCATCATCCATCCATCCATCATCCATCCATCCATCATCCATCCATCCATCCATCCATCATCCATCCATCCATCCATCATCCATCCATCCATCATCCATCCATCATCCATCCATCCATCATCCATCCATCCATCATCCATCCATCCATCATCCATCCATCCATCATCCATCCATCATCCATCCATCATCCATCCATCATCATCCATCCATCCATCATCCATCCATCATCCATCATCCATCCATCCATCATCCATCCATCATCATCCATCCATCATCCATCCATCATCCATCCATCCATCATCCATCCATCCATCATCCATCCATCCATCATCCATCCATCCATCATCCATCCATCCATCCATCATCCATCCATCCATCATCCATCCATCCATCCATCATCCATCCATCCATCCATCATCCATCCATCATCCATCCATCATCCATCCATCCATCATCCATCCATCCATCATCCATCCATCCATCCATCATCCATCCATCCATCCATCATCCATCCATCATCCATCCATCCATCATCCATCCATCCATCATCCATCCATCATCCATCCATCCATCCATCATCCATCCATCATCCATCCATCATCCATCCATCATCCATCCATCATCCATCCATCATCCATCATCCATCATCCATCCATCCATCATCCATCCATCCATCATCCATCCATCCATCCATCATCCATCCATCCATCATCCATCCATCCATCCATCATCCATCCATCCATCATCCATCCATCCATCCATCCATCATCCATCCATCCATCATCCATCATCCATCACCCATCCATCATCCATCCATCATCCATCCATCATCATCCATCCATCCATCCATCATCCATCATCCATCCATCCATCATCCATCCATCATCATCCATCATCATCCATCCATCCATCATCCATCCATCATCCATCATCCATCCATCCATCATCCATCCATCATCCATCCATCATCCATCCATCCATCCATCATCCATCCATCATCCATCCATCATCCATCCATCCATCATCCATCCATCCATCATCCATCCATCCATCATCCATCCATCATCCATCCATCCATCCATCCATCATCCATCCATCCATCATCCATCCATCCATCATCCATCCATCCATCCATCATCCATCCATCCATCATCCATCCATCCATCATCCATCATCCATCCATCATCCATCATCCATCCATCCATCATCCATCCATCATCCATCATCCATCCATCATCCATCATCCATCCATCATCCATCATCCATCCATCATCCATCCATCCATCCATCCATCATCCATCCATCCATCATCCATCCATCATCCATCCATCCATCATCCATCCATCATCCATCCATCCATCATCCATCCATCATCCATCCATCCATCATCATCCATCCATCATCCATCCATCATCCATCCATCATCCATCCATCCATCCATCATCCATCCATCATCCATCCATCCATCCATCCATCATCCATCATCCATCCATCCATCATCCATCCATCATCCATCATCCATCCATCCATCATCCATCCATCCATCATCCATCCATCCATCATCCATCCATCATCCATCCATCCATCCATCCATCCATCATCCATCCATCCATCATCCATCCATCCATCATCCATCCATCCATCATCCATCATCCATCCATCCATCCATCATCCATCATCCATCCATCATCCATCCATCCATCATCCATCCATCATCCATCCATCATCCATCCATCCATCATCCATCATCCATCCATCCATCCATCATCCATCCATCCATCCATCCATCATCCATCATCCATCCATCCATCATCCATCCATCATCCATCCATCCATCATCCATCCATCCATCCATCCATCCATCATCCATCATCCATCCATCAATCCATCCATCCATCATCCATCCATCATCCATCCATCCATCCATCCATCCATCATCCATCCATCATCCATCCATCATCCATCCATCATCCATCCATCCATCCATCCATCATCCATCCATCCATCCATCCATCCTTAGAAGAACTGATCAGTCCTCCATCATTGGTCCCCCCCCCCAGCCTGTGCTGCCTCTCTCCTCTTCCTGTGAATCTGTCCCTGCAGCAGGATTACAGTTCTGGGTCCTGGACCTCCAGAACTGGGACCATCTCTAATTATGCTGCAGATCATGAACCAGACTGAAAAAACCAGGATGGGGGAGACGGTAGCCTCAGCTGCAGGTCAGAGATCTTTGGGTCCACGATGTGGACCTTAAAGTTCTGGCTGTGATCCGGTTCAGATCATTAAGGATTCTGGACATCCACACATTTCAGCTGATCTGAGGAGACTAACCTGGAGCTACCGGCAGGGGGACAGTTCTGGTCCAGGGTCCGGTCCAGGGGCTTCGGGGCGACACGGCTGCTGCTGAGCTGAGCTTGGGTGGAGGGGTGGAACATTTGGGACGTTCCTGAGCGGGACAGCAGACCTGAGGACAGAGAGCACGGTTTGATTCCCATCAACCAGAGTTCTACTGCCTCTGGTTCTGGATGTGAGCCGGACCTTGCATGAAGGCAGAGGTGTGGGTGATGGGCATGGAGCCGTCGAACGGGATGGCCAGCAGCTCGTCTGTCGTCATGGAGACCCGGTCTCGGTTCTGGCGATGACGGGGCGAGCTGACGGGGAGGTTCAGGAAGTCCAGCTCCCGTTCCGTCAGACGCTCCCTGAGGACTGCGGATGAAACAGAACCCCCCCGATCAGAACATCCTGTTTCCAGCCCCAAACAGAACCGGACCTCCAGCTCAGTCCGCTTACATCAGCAGAACCCGTATTTACGCAGCGGCTCGGATCTTACCGTCCCTGTTTCTGGGCCGGACCGCTCTGGGTTTCCTCGGCGTGGCCAGAACCAGGGGTCCAGTTACCGTCCGGCACCTTTGGCAGCTGCCATCAAAATCTGCGATGTAGGCTTCCAGCGCCGCAGAGGCGGAATCGTAGATCTGCAACCAGGCAGAGTTTGCATGTTCAGAACCATCAGGCAGAAGCAGCCGGTGTCTGCATGAAGCGTCAGAGGAGAACCTGCTCTCCATATTGGAAGGTTCTGCTGAGCTCAGGCGGCTGCAGGCTGCTCCTCAGGCGCCCAGAGCTGGACAGCAGGGACGTCACGGTGGACTCTGGGGACACGCAGTCCTCCTCAGGCGACTCCATCCTTCAGCAGAAAGACGGATCCTCCATGATCCAGAACATCCTCAAACCTGAGAGACAGCAGACAGGTCAAAGGTCAGCAGCAGGCCAGGCTTCCCTCCTGCAGGTTGATAGATCTGCTCCGGTTTACTTCTAGAGTAGATTTTCTAGCCAGCAGATGTCTGGAAGCCTGTGAGTCTGGGACCACCTGCCTGATGGCGTCATGTGAGCAGCCTCCCAAACGCGGCTAAACTGATCAGTTAGTCAGTTAATGGCAGGTCGCCACGAGGCCACCAAACGTTTGATGCTGATTTTATACCTGAAACAAAAAATCAGCATCAATGAAAAATTCAGAATATATTGAAGGAGCAACAGAACGAGACTTCAGGTCAAACTGTCACCTTAAACCACGTCAGTATGGTGGAGAAACCCCGAGCAGGCGGCACACGTCCAATCCATGCCCTGCACCAACCATCAGGCACGGAGGGGGCGCTATCATGCTGTGGGGCTGAACCCTCTGGTCTGTAGGAGCAGAAAGTCACTGAAATAGAAAAGCAGCATTTTTCAAATTTAACATTTCAGTCAGGCATCTGAAAAGTTTTTAAAGTGAATTATTAAAGAGGAATTATACATTCTATTTATTTATTAAAGAGGAATTAAACATTCTATTTATTTATTAAAGAGGAATTAAACATTTTATTTATTTAT